ATAAGTTTGAGACAACTTGACATAAAGAAATACATCCTAAACTGTCTTTGTATATGTCATGACAACTTGACATTACCAAGACAACAAAATTTGTCAGTGTTTTTGTCAAGACAACCTGATATTGCCAAGACAACATAACTCGTCATAAATTAGTCATAAACATGATTGTCATGAAGACAATATAATTGTGTAATTATGTTTCTGCTCACTATTTTCAATGGAACAAAAAGAATTTGTCACAAAAATATATCCTTAAAAGTGTCAATATTATGTCAAATAATTATATAACCACATCATTACATGCAATTTATGACATGTTAATAACAAATACACTTTGTACCACTGCAGTTGAGGCCAAAAAATAAAACAAAATCATAACACAATTATAATGGCCTTATGACAATCTTCTTTATAACAGATTTATGAGTTACTGTATGTGGAGTTGGTAATATAAAGTTGTCATGGATACATTGACAGGTTTTGTTGTCTTAGTAATGTCAAGTTGTCATGACAAAGACAAAGATAGATAATGATGTATTAGATTATGTCAAGTTGTCATAACAAAGATATCTCAAACAACGTCACCTTTGCATTTTAAATGACAAAGCTGAGCAAATGACACTCAATGACAGTTGTCATAAGCATGCATAAAATCAAATTCAAATTCATGACATGTTTCATATCATGATTATCAGGATATTATGACTGATATATATATAATATATATATAATATATATATATTTCAATTCAATTTTTGGTTGAACTATTAAAAAAATTATAGATGTGTTCCTTTGATACTAATACAAATAACTGTATCTGTTATTACCTGCGCTGCTTTTGACACCCCTAAAGCATCGTGAGACCCTGTAAAACCGGAAGGCTGAACAGGTCTTGAAGCAATCTGCCGAGTGGACAGCGAGTCAATAACAGGCTGGGTGTTGTTGTTATAAGCTTAGCAGGAAGTGTGAGAGAGATGTGGGCGAGAATGCAAAGATTCACCCCAATCCAAGGTGATGAGGACCCGAGAGGTGTCTGTGAGATTTATGGCTTTCTAAAGCCTGCTGCTCCGGTTCGGAGAACCCTTAACTAGAGCAGATCAAAGATATGGATTCCAATAGGACAGTCACAGCAAGGTTATTTCTCAGCAAAGCTTTAAAACATTTAAGAGCTCAACTCCACAGCCATCTTCTTGCAGAGCTAAATCCTTCTCCTCACACAGGGTTAAGGACGATCGTCAACATGAGATGGTCAATAGCTGGACGGCGGTTTCAGGTTTGATAAATGGTTCGCAGAAATATTATGCAGACAGGATGTCTGGCGACTCAGAGTGTTCGCAGCAAAACGTGAATGTATGAATATGAATGGTTGAAATATTGATCGGTAATGCATCTGGACCGACTACGTTCTGGCTAAGTCAGGTCTGGGTTAGCATAACGCTGTCTGCTCTTGGGCCGTGGTGACATGTGTCAAAAAGAAGGGGTTTTGAGACGCCCGGGGCAGGAGAGAATGCAAATAAATGCACATGCTAACCTTTGAGATGAGGGCTGCTCATTCTGAAGCACTGACCTACACGTAAATGCGTTGTTCAGGTCTTGAGTGTGAACTAATTTTGACACTTGTTAGTGATGTGGTTCCAAGGGTGTCAGCAGCACGCAGTGGCATCATTGGATTGGTATGGAAATCAGACATAAATGCTGATGTTCTTCATGAGAGGTGGCATGTTGCATTAAAAATCGTCTTTTTTTTTGCTGATAAAGGTTTTAAAGTAGGTTTACATGTGGAGGTTAAATCTAAACAAAGAGAGACGGTGCAAATAGCTTAGTGGTTATGTGAGCCAATATAGTTAAGAACTTAATTTAAGTTCAGCTGCTTTGACACAATCTACATACTAGAATGTGTTTTAGAAATAAAAAAGAATTGAATTGAATTGAATTGAACTGAATTGAATTGAATTGAATTGAACTGAATTGAATTGAGGAGAGGCAGTGGCGCAGTAGGTAGTGCTGTCGCCTCACAGCAAGAAGGTCGCTGAGTTGCTGGTTCGAACCTCGGCTCAGTTGGCGTTTCTGTGTGGAGTTTGCATGTTCTCCCTGTGGTCGTGTGGGTTTCCTTCAGGTGCTCCGGTTTCCCCCAGTAGAAATGCTAGATTATACGCCAGTGTGGATGTGGATCATTCATGTTCTAAAACGCCATTTTAAAACTTAGACATATTAGTGTAAACAGGGCCTGAGTATGTATTTTTCACAAGCAGGTTTGCGATGGGGGCAGGGCGGAGTCTATAGACCCAAACCTAGGAGGAGCTACAAACACCTATGCAACAGCAAAATGACAGATTTATAAAAGGGCTAAAATATTTATATTGAAATTGTTAAAAGAAGTGACTCAGAGGAAGGTAGTTTATCGAAACTACAGTGCTCATTTGTGCATCCTAAAATTCAACATGTATATTGCCTCTTAGTTGCTGACATTATCTGTGACAGGTATAATGTAAAAAGTGCTTCTCACTCAGGGCTATTTATGCCAATGAGGCATAGATCGCCATTAATGGGCAGGACTTTCCCTCTCTGATGACATTTACAAAGGGAGATTGTCAATCAAAGTGTTTCTGCTGACTGTTTTTAGGAAATATGATTATAAAAAAGGTAACGGCGTGGCTCAGTGGTTAGCACTGTCACCTCACAGCAAGAATGTTGCTGGTTCAAGTCCCAGCTGTGTCAGTGGGCATTTTTATGTGGAGATTGCATGTTCTCCCCATGTTGGCGTGGGTTTCCTCCAGGTGCTTCCCTGATAAATAAAAATGACTAAGCCGAAGGAAAATAAACGTTGACTATAAAAAAGGAATTAAATATTAATAATTATTAGAGGCTGGCTACATTCACACATTGTTGCCTTAAAACAGTGTTTAATAGTTAAACGATTAAAAAAATAAAAGTGAGTTTTTCTTAATTGGTCCCCTTTAATGGTGTTTAAAGAGTATACAAAGCACAAAACTCTTACAAACACTGTTCTTTTCAATCCTAATATGCTTTTAGTGGAATATTTGATGCTATATAAGGATGTAGTGTAAATAGCAAGTTGGAAATTATTAGTTACTTTTTAAAGTTCTTTCCAAGTTTTTGAAACTTTCCATTCAGAAAAAAACCTCTTCAAAACTTTTGTCTATTGTGGAGATTTATGTTTTAAACAAGTTTTAAAAAAAGGGCTGGTGCAGGGGGCAGGCAGAGACCGAAACACCTGCTTCCTATCCAAGCACAGAGGCCATCCTTTGGGGCTGTGACGGCTCATCAATCTGCCTGAGCTGCAGCGAGTACTGCTCATCTCAGACGGGGATCTCCGTGATGAGGGATAAAATGAGGCAAGACTCTGGGCCGTAGAGCAAACCCACAGGACCAGAGAGACTCCTGGAGCTACGGTGCCTGCTAAGGACGAGCAGACATGTCATGTCACTGTGAACCAGTGGAGTATTTCAAAAGAGACTGGAAGGAAATATCCGCAAATGCATCACAAACATCTTTCTCTATAGCTCAGTTTCAAAACTTATTGAGAATATCAATGGTTTCTGCAGTACCATGTGGTGGTAAACTGTTGAAAATTCAGCATCGTATCACAGAAATAAACTGCATTACAAAGTAAATCACATTATTTATGTTGAAGCGTACTTATAAAGGATAATTATGCTTCCCAATCCCTTTGCATTGCAAACATAATGCATCAATACATATATATATATATATATATATATATATATATATATTTTTTTTTTTTTATTTTTATTTTTTTATGAATATTTTCCATTTAGTTACATTTTTTAAATCTATTCTGGGACCTCAATCTCTTTTACAACAACTATTGAGGTAAAAATATTGATAAAATAAACAAAGTGACTTTTTACTGCTATTTTTAGTTTATTACTTTTAAAAACTTGTGTACCTAAAGTGTACAGGTACCTTTTCTGTTATTCTACTTATTTATTCATAGACTATTTACTTATTTTATTTTTCAAAATACCAAACTAATAAAAGTTACTTTGTAAAACTGTAGAGTAAAACTTCCTGTAGAGTAAAACTGTAGAGTATCTGACATCAACATCCCATAATGTGAAGTGAAGGCATTTATAAACAGAAAACATATACATTTAAGTGTAAAAGAGCTTGGTTAAAGGGACAATTTAGAAACAAATAAAAAATAAATAAATAAATAAATACTCTTAATTAACTCAGCCTCAAGTCAGCTAAGATGTAGGTGACTATTTACTTCAGGGGGCGAAGCAGTGGCGCAGTAGGTAGGGCTGTTGCCTCACAGCAAAAAAGTCGCTGGGTCACTGGTTCGAGCCTCGGCTCAGTTGGCGTTTCTATGTGGAGTTTGCATGTTCTCCCTGCGTTCACGTGGGTTTCCTCCGGGGGCTCCGGTTTCCCCCACAGTCCAAAGACATGCGGTACAGGTGAATTGGGTAGGCTGAATTGTCCGTAGTGCATGAGTGTGTGTTTGAGTGTGTGTGTGGATGTTTCCGGAATGGGTTGCGGCTGGAAGGGCATCCGCTGCATAAAAACTTGCTGGATAAGTTGGCGGTTCATTCCGCTGTGGCAACCCCGGATTAATTGAGGGACTAAGCCGACAAGAAAATGAATGAATGAATGAATAAATGAATGAATGAATAAATATTTACTTCAGTAATCATTAATGATGATTTGATGAGGATGCTTTTTAAAAGCCTGATGGGCTATTTAATTTGTATATTCAATATACAGTGAGCAACTAATAATATATGACTTTAGTATATTCTATTTAACTCTATTTATATTTATGATTACTATTAGTAGTAGTAGTAGCAGTAGCAGTAGCAGCAGCAGCAGCAGCAGCAGCAGCAGTAGTAAGTTTTCTTATTCTAATTTTCGTCTTCTTATTATTATTATTATAATTTTTTTATTATTATTATTATTAATTTGACATTTATTGTCATAAATAACTGATAAACCCACACATAAATCTTTGAAGTTACCTTGGCCACCATCTTGGGAGAGTCTTTCTCTGGAGCGCGTCTGTGGGTAACTGGAGTGATGGAGATGTTTGCAGAGTCTGATGCATGTGCTGCTTCCTCCTGCTGTAGGTTCTTATTACACACGTCATCCAGCACCACCTTCACACAGTGCGCCATCTGAGGAATGAGGTCTCTGAACGCAGCCCTCCATCCAAACTCAAGACACACAACCTTAAAGCAAGTACAATGGATTAAAACATGATAACTCATTGATTAAAACATATGCTGCACACTTATAAGCTAAAATCCTGCCAAAATATATAAACACAACAATGCAGTCTCGGCATGTAAAAATCCTGGGTTGCACACAATTACATGTTGTTCCAACAAATTAAGTTAACTTAATAGTTTTTTACAAATTTAAGTGGATTGAACATAAACCAACTAGGTTGTCACAATAAAAACTTAAGAATCGTTTTTAATCATTTTAAATTAGTAGTTTCAGGCAACGAAATGCACACTGAAAAAAAAAATTCAAAGATGACTCCTTGGATTTACTCAATTTTTTTTTACGTTAAGTGGTTGTAAACAATTTATGTGTGTTGAATTTAAACAAACAAATTAAGTTGAACATTGTTAAACTTAATTTGTTTGTTTAAATTCAACACAAATAAATTGTTTGCAACAGTTCTGCATGCAACACTTTTTTCAGTGCATTTTTTTTGAGTGTGGAGCTCTAAGATGTTTTAGGGCTTTGTTTAGTGTGCACCGATATGCTTTCTCAGCTATTACCTCTTACTGCTTGTTCAAACTACTTATGTAAAATGAGCCAAACCAACAATTCTTGAGAATTTTTTAATGTGATACTTTAATTGTTTTATGTTTAATCCATTTGAATGTGTAAATTAATCAATTTGTGTTGGGACAGCCTGAATGGATCCCTGCATTTTGTTTACAGTGTATGTAGTCTACAGTTGTTTGTGAATGTAAAGGTTTGCAGGATTTCAAAGGTTGAAGGGCAAGATAAACAGAGCGATTAGCTCACAAAAGAGAAAAAAAATGTATCATCAGTTATACTAACACAAATGTAGTCATACTTTTGTAAATATGAATAATATTTAATGTAATAAAATCTTTCATTGTATAATCTCATTGGATAATGGTTCCTTTGACCCTATAAACAGAAATGGGATGTAAATGCCGAAAGATTTGATTTCTGTTATAAAAATGTTAAGAGGATGCTGTTTGCAGTGATCCACAAGCAAATCAGCTTTCTATGCACTTAGAAGTTGAGGATGCTTGCCCAAATATTTATGTTAAAACCAAAAGAATTATTGATGTTGATATCAGAATCAGAAAATTAAAATCAGAAATCAGAATCAGCTTTATTGCCAGGTTTTAATTTGTCTTTCTTCCATACAAAGATTAAAAGTGCTGAGGAAGCTTTGGGATCTGAAATTCAGATTTAGTATTAGACACTTGATTTTAGCATGTGCTGTAAACAGTAGTCCAATCATTACAGACTGGCCCATCTGATAAATCAGAGTGCAGAGTAGGCTCTCAAAAAGCAGGGTTTTAGAGAGACGTGATCCCTGAATGGAATGTTTCAGAAAAAAGACCTGATGCTGCAATGCAAAATACAGTACATAATGAGAATTTAATTTTTTTTTTTTAGGTTTTTGTTGTTTGTTTAGCCTTAAAATAAATTTGAACATATTGCAGTAGTTTACCAAAACATAATCTTGAACCTTTATGAATAAAATAAAATAAAATAAAAAACTAAATAAAATAAAATAAAATACAAATGTATTGAATTAAAATGGACTGTTTCAAAAAGAAGACTTGATGCTGCAATGCAAAATACAGTCCATAATGAGAAATATATATATGTTCTCCCTGCATTCGCGTGGGTTTCCTCTGGGTGCACAGTCCAAAGACATGCAGTACAGGTGAATTGGGTAGGCTAAATTGTCCATAGTGTATGAGTGTGAGTGTAAATGTGTGTGTGGATGTTTCCCAGAGATGGGTTGCGCCTGAAAGGGCATCTTCTGCATAAAAACGTGCTGGATACATATATATATATTAGGGCTGTAACGATACACGATATGAAATCGAAATCGGACACTCAGATCTACGATCCTGTGTCCCACTGTGATAAGGGAGAATCGCGACACACCACGTGACTACCTTTCCAATAACGTCACGCGTGCCTGCAAAAGTTGAGCTGATTATCACTTTTTTTTTCGTTCGACATACGAGCACTGCTCCGTTTAAGCCCTTGCAATATTTAGCCGGGAGAGCTCGCACGGAGCTCTTAGTAAGGGACCGTCTGAATGTGTCAGGAATATCAAAAACAAAACCAACTTAACCCCGCTTGAAACCCCGACAACGCCAGAAACATTGCCAATGCTGTCAAAGCGGCCGGATTTTCAGCGCATATACGTTGATTTGCTCACACTGTTAATGTGGCTGCGCAGAGAGCGATGGGCATTCACCAGATGTCAGGTAACAGCGCAAACTTTTCTGTAACTGTGCAGTGCGCTTTCTGTTTGAACCTTTGAGAGTGCTGACTGACAGGTGCACTATGCGTGAGGTCAGGAAACATGACGAAGCTTTCAGTTAAGATGAACACAGTTTCTATAGCTATACTTGATTGAAAGATAAAGGTATATGGCTCTGCATATAATCCCTCTATCTTGCTGGAGTTTATAGCCGTTTCGCTTTACTTCAGGACGCATTAATGCCGCTCTGAAGGTCTAATCGCTGTTTTAAGTTATCCAGAGCTGTATGAATGTACAAATCATGAATATCACAATAGTATTAAATATTACAATTACAACAACACAGACAGCAACACTTTTGCACAATCGATACCCAGCTGATTCAGTCGTTTCATGAGAGGACCACGCCTCTTCTTTTTTCCTTTTCAACATAAAGGCAGTGAGGTGCGCCTTTGTATTCGGCCCCTTGTTTAACTGCAAGGCATACTTATTTTGCGGGACGATAACGTATAACCCGTGCCTACAGACACATTTGCCAAAGAAGCAAAATGGAAGAAGAATATTGCTTGATACAGACGTGTTGATGCTGCAGCGCTTATGTTGACCTGGATCTGCGTCATAAACGCAACAAATAGGCTTTACTTTTTATTTTACAGCTTATAAAGCATGTATGCACATTAATGCAATATCATATTTTAACAACAAAACTGTTTACAAAAAGTCAACATATGCGCTTGTTGTTGTTGTCTTTTCATCAGGCAGCGTGCGCACTTGAACCGCGCGGGAGAGAGAGGAAACCATAGGCTATATCAGGACATATTCTTTAAAATAATGATTTCTATTAAAAATGTAAAAGGTTTTGTGATTATAATAATAACAGCGAGGCATTAAATAAATGCATATTTTCCGTGGAGCGGGCAATTTGAGGAAGTCTGCGATTTTTATTTGACGGAAGAAAAAAACATAGGCTATGATTGGAAAAAAGCCTATGCCGGTTATTAAAAAGAATCAGTCAGTATTTTCGTTTTGTAATATAAATTAATTATTTAAGTGAAAATAATTTAGGGCAGTTCTATTTATTTTATTAATTTTATTTAGATTATTCTGCTCTTCTGTGCTAAACACTGAAGGTGCGCGATGCTCTGTTGTTCTGTTCCGCTATTAATATGCTAACATATAAAAATAAATCAGTATTTTAAAATGCAATATTTAATTTGTCGGACACAAAATAGACAGGTCAATTTGTTTAATATAAAATTAATAGTAATCTGACCAGTTAACCAGTAATAACCGATTAATGAGCAGCGTTTGTCGGTTGGCAAAATTAACGAAATGAGCATCCCTAGTAGCTATTTAATTTACTTTTTCTATGTAAGAGAACTTGATTGAAAAAGAATTTTCAACATGCTTGAACCATTTACACAATGGAGTTTAGTTCTGTTTGGTTTTTCAACATTATTTTGTTACAAAGAAAACAAAAGTGATATAGCTTTGGCTATTTATTTATTTTATATATGGCTTTTTATATTGTTAATAATTTGCATAGGTAATATTGTTCTTTAATGTTTAGTTTATAAAGATTTTTTAAATGTTATTTAATAAAAAAAGTTTTAAAAATCTTTTTTTTCCCCACCCCAAAAAAACGTTTTTATTTTTATTTGAAAAAAAAAATCTTTGATTTTTCTTTATATTCAAATTAATTCTGTCTGTTTTGTACAATATTTTGGCTAGTGTAAGCAGAATAAAAAGAAAAGAAATAAAGAGTTGATTACAATTGAGTAAAGTTCTCAGTTATTTCAAAAGTAAAAAAAGTGCACTAAAAATCTGTTTTACAGTATTTTCCCCATCAGTGAATAAATAAGGTATCACCTCATTGCTCTGCAACACAACATCACCAGCAGCTTTGTCTTCAGTTCCTGTCACCTCCATATCATCCCTGACCTTCTTCAGGACCCCTGCATGGAAAAAGCCAAATCAAACATAGTGCATCTACAGTAAACTGTCACTACGGCCTCGCGAAAGGAAATGCGCTCCAAATCCTCCAATTTCCAGCTCATTAAAAACATTTCACGCAATACCATCTCATATGTTCCGTTAACATATTAGCATATGCATTCACGCTTTACATGGTGCCTTTGGAAAATAAGTCAATGTGTGGGGTGTCAGGGTCAGGCCAGGTCAACATATTAAACTCCAACAAACAACGATGTGATTCGCCCAGTAAAGTGGAGGAAAGAAAGAAAGCGGATGCAGTAATTGCAACAGTAAGCTTTGTTAAATTCGGAGGCTTTGGAGATGATTTGAACCCCTGATAGCTATGACCATATCTGGGCTAATCCATGGAAGGGTTAGAGGGAGGATAAGTGTGTGTGTGTGCTTGTTGTGGGGCAAATTAAAAGTGCATGCATCAAGGCCGCATTTTTCTAATCAGACGCTTCGGAAGTGAGACCCCGGGCGAGGCAATTTAGTTGAAGAAGAGAGAGAGAGAGAGAGGGAGCAGAGTCAAGCAAAGGAGGAGAGAAGCAGCCGGCATGTCACTTTTTGACCTTTAAGCCCATCTGATGAATTTCTGGTAATTAAGTCGTTTGATTGGCTAAATTAATGATTTGGATAACTGCCCTTTAAAGGCTGTTTACTTCTCAGTAAATCCAGCCCTTTTCTGCTTGTCCTGTTTTTTAATGTAACCTTTACAGAAATTACTATACGCACCAGTCACTTTCATAGCAGAAAAAAAATAAAATAAATGAAAAGAAATTTCCTGCCTCCTCGATTTGTGCATGTTTCCATATGCAAAAAGTATACGCACACACACAGAATGAGAACTGTGAAGAAAGGTGAGAAAACTCTCATTAAAAAAAGCATATGTATACAAGGTAACGCTACAGGCCACTAGTCTGGTCTCATAAGCTGCCTGTAGAGACATCGCTATTATATGCTGGAATTGGAGGCATGTCATATTTAAAGGCTCCGTCGAGCACAATATAGCTTGAGGTTTTTCCGCTCCCACGGTGACAAATCATTTCACATGTCAGATTTGGAACAGACTGTTGTCAGAAATCTTGATCGGCTGCCATTTATTTACACTATGCTGATATCCCCTTAAAAACACACACACACAACAACCATATATCTTGTTGACTGGCATATATCACATTCAGTCTGAGGGCAACATATACCACTTATTTGCATCTGTATATGTTTTTGCAGTTGCTTCAGGGGGACATTTGCTTACTATGGATGTTTTGTTGATTACTAGAAAGTATTTGAAGGGAAAGTTTATCCAAAAAATGAAAAGTTGACAGTTGACTTTGTTTTGGATTACTTGATTCTGAGGAATCTGGCTAAAAATACAATAAAACAACTATAAAAACAATATTATAATAATAAATAAATAAACAAACAAATTCTATTTTAATATATGTAGTCATGTGATGAAGAATGCCGTTGATTTAATTTTGAGAAATGATTCCAACATACTCTCACTGGCCACTTTATTAGGTACACCTTTACTAGTACCAGGGTGGACCCACTTTTGCCTTTAGAACTGCCTTAATCCTTCATGACAGAGATTCAACAAGGTACTGGAAATATTTCTTAGAAACTATGGTTTATATTGAGATGATAGTGTCACACAGTTGCTGCATTTTTCAGCTGCACATCCATGATGCAAATCTCCCGTTCCACCACATCCCAAAGTTGCTCTACTGGATTGCAATCTAGTGACTGTGGAGGCCATTTGAGTCCAGTGAATTCATTGCCATGTTTAAGAAATCAGAGATGATTTGCACTTTATGACATGGTGCGTTATCCTGCTGAAAGTAGCCATCAGAAGAAAGCTAGACTGTAGTCATGAAGGGATGGACATGGTCAGCAACAATACTAAGGTAGGCTGTGGTGTTGACACAATGCCCAGTTGTTACTAATGGGCCCAAAGTGTGCCAAGACAATATCTTCCACACCATTACACCACCACCACCACCACCACCAGCCTGAACCATTGATACAAGGCAGAATGCATCGATGCTTACATGTTGTTGGTGAGAAATTCTGACCCTACCATACAATATTAGCTTTTCCAGCCCGTCTGGCACCAACAACCATGCCACATTTAAAGTCCCTTAATTCACCTTTCTTTCCCATTATGACGCTCACTTTGAACTGCAGTAGATTGTCTTGACTATGTATACATGCCCAAATGCATTGAGTTGCTGTCATGTGATTGGTTGATTAGAAATTTGCATTAACGAGCAGTTAAACAGGTGTACCTAATAAAGTGACCGATGACTGCACTTATATGGAGGTAAAGAAATATTTCTTAATAATTATAGCAGTTTGGCATAACAGAAACTATATAAAAAGATTTATATTGGTTAAAGTGTACCTTTAAAACTGCTGACTGATTCTCCAGCACAGTTAAGGAAACCCAGATGAGTTGCCAAGTCCTTAACTGTTTGCTCCAGCTTCAGTAAGGTGGATGTCAGCTGGGTCAAGCACCTGAGCTGATGGGAGGTGAGGCAGAAGTTTCGACTTCTTTGGGGAGGATCCTGAGGAGCTGTACAAGAACATAAGAGAGATCTGTCAAGACCAGCATATTCTGCGTTGTGGTTCTGTGGTTTATCTGTTCTGCTGGGACAATCATAAACTTCAAGAAACAGTTGAAGACACAACTCTTCTGCAAGCACTTTCTACACCACAATCATGAACAAAGGCACTGTCTTATAAATAACCAAAAATATTGTCTGTGTTTTCATATACTGTAGGCCAGTGGTCACCAAACTTGTTCCTGGAGGGTCGGTGTCCTGCAGATTTTAGCTCCAACCCTAGTCAAACACACCTTATCAAGCTAATCAAGGTCTTACTAGGTACACTTGAAACATCCCTACAGATGTGTTGAGGCAAGTTGGAGCTAAACCCTGCATGAACACTGGCCCTCCAGGACCGGGATTGGAGACCCCTGCTGTAGGCTATAGCTTACTCTTGAAAACTGGCAATGTGGTATTTCAAATACTGTTAGTTCTTATAAGAAAAAGTGCTTGTAAGGTTTGGTGCTTCATTTGATAGTTCTTTCTATAAAAGTACATTTTCGGTCAAAATGTTAACAAAAACTTGTCTGCAAAATTCAACAACTAAATTTTGTAGATGAACAGGATATTTATGCTAGTCCACCAGCTAGAATAACCCTAAACCAACCTAAATCAGGGAAAGATTAGTTCTGGACAAGTCAGATGCAAATCTGTTGAGGTTTGCAGAATTTACAGGAGAGGTTTGTGAAATGTTATCTGCTTTGTTTCAATCTGAAGATTCCAAGATTTGTTCTGCAGACAGTTTCTGGGAAAAGGTACAGAACAAACTATGAAGTATTGATAGTCCCAATGAGCAAAAAGAACAACAACCTCTGAAGCACTCCCCCAATCAGGCATGTGCGGTAGAGTGGCCAAACTTGCAGACTGTCAAAAGGCACCTGGAGAAATCAAAAATCTTTGGTCTAATAAAATGGCTCTTTGTCTGGAAGAAACCAGGCAGCACTTATCATCACCCCAACAGTGAAGCATGGGCATGTTTTTTGCTGACAGGAACTGGGGGGCTTGTAAGGGTAAATTTACATTGGGGTTAAGATCAATGCAAATATGTACAGAGACATCCTTGATGAAAAAACACTCTGGACCCTAAGCACACAAAGGAGATAACAAAGGTGAAAGGCGATGAGACAACAGTAGATATCTTTTAGTGACCCAGCCAGAGCAGACCCTTAAACCTGATTGCACATGTCACCCATTTAATGTAATGGAACTTGAGAGGTACAGCAAAAAATAATGTGAGAAACTGTGCAAAACAAATGTGCCAAGCTCTAAAATCATAGTAAAAAAAAAACTTGAGTCCAAGGTCCTTTAACGAAGTATTGAGCGAAGGCTGTGGATATTTATGCACATGCGTTTTAATTTTTTTTAACAATATTGCAAAGATTTCAAACAAATTTCTTTAATTTTACCATTATGGGATATTATTTTTCAAGTTTTGAAGAAAATAATGGATTTATTTCGTTTTGAAATAAGATTGTAAGATAGCATCCGTTCATTCAGTCTTATGAGAGAACCCCAGACTTCTCTCTCCCCAAACAATTTCTCCAGCTCCTCCAGGGGGATCCCGAGGCGTTCCCAGGCCAGCCGAGAGACATAGTCACTCCAGCATGCCCTGGGTCTTCCCCAAGGCCTCCTTCTGGTGGGACATACCTGGAACACCTCTCTAGGTTAGCATCCAGGGGGCACTCGAAACAAATGCCCCAGCCACCTCACCTGACTTCTCGATGTGCAGGAGCAGCGGCTTTACTATGCGCCCTGCCACCCTGCGAAGGAAACTCATTTCAGCCGCTTGTCACCTTATCGTTAAGGGTGTGCCCTGCCACCCTGCGAGGGAAACATTTCAGCCGCTTGTATCCTTCTGTAAGGTTCTCCTCTCTCCACAGAGTGGCCATCAGGTTTTTGATCACCTCCCTGACTAAGGCCCTTTTGCCCTGATCACTCAGCTTAGATGTCAGTAGGCGTTTCTGTGTGGAGTTTGCATGTTCTCCCCGCGTTCGCGTGAGTTTCTTCTCGGTGCTCCGGTTTCCCCCACAGTTTGAAGACATGCGGTACAGGTGAATTGGGTAGGCTAAATTCTCTGTAGTGTATGAGTGTGTATGGATGTTTCCCAGAGATGGGTTGCAGCTGGAAGGGTATCAGCTGCGTAAAACTTGCTAGATAAGTTGGCGGTTCATTCTGCTGTGGCGACCATGGATTTATAAAGGGATTAAGCTGAGAAGAAAATCAATGAATGAATGATGAATGGAAAAATTATGAACAGAATTGGTGACTAAGGGCAGCCCTGCCCGAGTCCAACATGCACTGGAAGACTTATTGCCGGCAATGCGAATTAAACTCCTACTCTGTTCATACAGGCCCTATACACTATATTCTATATGAT